AGCTGGACTCACAGATGTCGATCAGGAGTGTGTATGAGCACTTCTTCAGGAGAGCGCGGTCTCCGGTGTGTGTCGACGCAGAGCTGTGATCCGCAGGAGATGACAGACGAGTGTGAACCCTGCGGCAGAGCTGCATGAAGAGCACCGCGGCGGCACCCTGCACACACACACACACATGCATAAACAAAAACACAAACCACACACACACACACACACACACACACACACACACACACACACACACACATCACACATTTAAATTTATAATATTTGCACACACAAATGTATGCATACACACACAAACACACATATATGACAAAGACATGTATACAAATACACATGGATATACACAAACATACATATACATGCACAACAAACATACACACAAACACACAATACAAAAAACACATACAACACAGATGTGAGTTAATAACACAGAGCAGCACACATGGTCATCAGAGACAGACACTCAGACAGTAGTGTATTTGCTGACCCAGCCCACTGCATCCAGAGCGCTGTATCTCGGCACACCAGCAGAGCAGAACTGAGATGTGCGTCTTTTCTTCTGCTCATCTTCACCTGCATGAGAGCTGAAACACACACACACACACACACACACACACACACACACACACACACACACACACACACACACACACACACACACACACACACACACACACACACACGTTTACGGTATGAGTGATGCACTACACATATCTGTATTAGTCTGTACCTATTTGGTACAGGATGGTGTGCACACACACACACTGAACAATACTGAATTCAATCCTTTAAAACGTGGGTTGTGTCCTCCTTATATGATCCGTTACACCTCGAATACGCACAAATACATTACTGTATAGCATCCAATAGAAAATATTCAATAAAAATGGGAGATTTCTGAAGGGTGTATGCTGAGTGCTGTATATAAAGCACACACTTTTGAAACATTAGAATGTGTGTGTGGTTTCCAGTACCTGCTGCTGTCAGAAGTGTGTCGTCCGCCGCTCAGCACTGAAGAGTTCAGCAGCTCGTCCTCCACATGATGAGCTGGAGAGAGACGCAGCGGAGCAGAGCGGCTCCACACTACACACACAACAACACAAAACACACAAAATAAATATGTTGTTTTTTTATTAGCACAATCATTCAGTGACACTGCCCCTATATTGTTTACCACGCTACTTTGAATATTGGGGTCTGGAATGACATGAAAGTATGACTTCAAAACAACATTGACAGTGAACAATGTTGTACTTTGATAGTCAATGGCTGCTAATGTGATGTTCTCTATTCAGAATATGCAATGTTTACTGTGAGGAGTGTGTGTGTGTGTGTGTGTGTGTGTGTGCACATTTTAATGAATGAAAATATAACTTAGGCAAGTTTAAAAGCAACAGAAGTCTATATAAGTTGGTTTTATATTCGCACATTCCTTCAGTGGCAGCTTGTGGCATGCTCACTATACTGTTTACAATAGTACATTGAATATTTGGTCAGAAATGACATGTAGGTGACTTCAACACAACATGATCACTGGTTTTTTGACTTTGAGCAATGATGTACTTTGATAGTCACTGTCTGCTAATGTTATTTCACTATTTAGTATTTAGCAAAGACTACTTTTCTGGAATGAAATTATTTAAGACAAAGTCCGGATGTGTGAATATAAAACCAGCTGTACCCCGGTCTATGACAGGAGCGTGTGAGTGTGTGTGTGTGTGGTGATTTCATAACTCATTAACTAAGCAAATAATTTAAACGTGAACATCTCAAAATGTAAAGCAGATGACGTGTTTGATTTGTAAAACAGTGCTCGATAATTCACTTTGCATCTGATCTGCAACAAATGTGAAAACTGAAACTATCGTCAAACTGATTATACTTTATTTTATTTACTTATTATTAGACTCACGACTAATATCTTCATTATGTCGTAGATAAAAGCGACGCGTGTGCAGTCTGAAACAATGTAATACAATGTATCAATGTGTCGTGAAACAATGTAACAAGTGCATCAATGTATCCGAGTGGATACTGATGTATCTTTTAACGGTTACGTCATCACTATCGCTCACCTCTGCTGACTAAGCTCTGGATGCGCCACATGTCTGTGTGTGTCCGCTGTTGTTGTTGTTTTCAGCGTTTATTCGGCTTCAGAAACTCACGCCATGATGTTTTCAGAGAGTCACGAGTTACAGCGAGCGCAGTGAAGGGCGAACAGCGGAAATGACGCAACAGCCCTACAAAACGCACTACTATGGAAGGCCGTTGGGGCCAAAACGTCTGCAATAAACGTGTTAACGCGTAATTGCGTGTTAACACGTAATTTACGCGTTAACACGTCATTTACGCGTTAACACGTTGGTACGTGTTAACACGTCATTTACGTGTTAACACGCAATTTACGTGTTAACACGTTTTTTTTAACTAGTCTCATTTTTAAAGTGTTATCATTTACTGTTTTCTCCAATTAACCTACTTATTATAATATGTGTAAAGTAATTTCACTTAAATCACAATAAATGCTTTGCAGTCAATGATCTGTAGCAGATATTTAGCATTATAAAAGGCCAGACATCTTCTGTAATGTTATGTTTGATGGCATAATAATGTAAAATATTAATGTTTGTTATTCAGCTGCTGCGATTTCTTTGAAATATGTGTGCAGAGAAATCAGAATGAGATTAATTTGACAAGTGTGTGCAAACACACTTTTTTTTCAGGAACACAAACATACAGTATATACAAATCAACACAAGAACACAGAATGACATAAGTGGATAAAGTAAATAATAAAACATTGGTTACAAAATCATATACAGTAAGGGTTGTGTATATGTATGACTAAAAACAAGTAGCAACTAATCTAATAAAAAAAATCTATAGAGATAAAGATGTGTAGAGATCTGGAGGTTGGGCAGGTGCAAAGCAATAATCCTCTCCGCTGTCCTGACAGTCCACTGCAGTCTTCTTGTGTCTGATTTGGTGATTTCTAGATGGCACTTAAGAGTTTTTTTTTTTTTTTTTGAACTTTTTATACATTTATTGTTTCCAAAACTTTACACTATATACTTTTGGTCTCTGTACTGGAAGCTCCAAATCACGAAGACAAAACACTCTTGTGTGCAAACAATTGACAATAAATAATTGACAAGTTTTGATAAAACTGTAAGCTCTTTTCTGCCTGGTAAGAACAACCCAAGTTATGATATACTAAATCAAAATTACAAGACAAAAAGTCGAAATAATGATTTATTAACTCAAAATATGACTAAAATCTGTAGAAATGACATACCGACAATAGATGGCGACAAATCACCATCTAAATGTGTAACTTAATTCTCTAAAGATGATTAATCTAATCAAACTTTTTTTTTCTTTTTAAAAGAGTTATTGAATCTTTAACTGAATGTCATTTTTTTCATTCATTAGCTTGTTTATGAAAACTGCATGCAAGAACTTAAACTCAAATGGTCCATGGTAATTTTGTCAAGTAACTTTGCAATGTAGTGGGTAACACATGCAGTTTAGGTCAATTCAATGTGAAGTGAATTTAAAATAATATTTCCCACATTATCTTTAACTAACCAAGGACATTTTCACAGTATTATGCCACAGTATCCAATAAAACAAAAAATATTCTGGAATCATAAGTCTTATTTCTTATAGTTTATATAAGTGATATGGGTCGATCAATTGTTACTTATGCAAACTTCAATACTTTCTTTAAAATATTAAAGGTGCTGTAAGCAATTTTTCATCTTAACAGGCTGGCACAATTCGGCCACTCTCAAAAAAAAAAAAAAAAAAAAAATTGTGGTTAGGCATGCACAGAGCATCTTCTTTCTCACAATGAGTTTCTTCTATCATTCATCCAACCAAGTTCGTTATTCCGAAGTGATCTGGGAACAAGGTCAGTGCTGCAAAGAGCTTGTAAAGCCTGCCCTGGCTCATTTAAAGTGACCAGCGCAATGAATGATAAATGTCAGTAATAATCAAAACAGTTTAAAACGGGCTTCTCTAGAAATGTAAATATTGCACATAATGAAGATACAAGAAAGATACAAGTGTATGTTTTTGTTCCTGCCCATGAATAGATGATTTCTTTTGTTCTGTGGGAAATAAGGGTTTCTTTAATGCTCCACTGTAATTGGGTCACAAACCCCTGTCATTTGTTTGCTACATTTTTAATTTGTCATGTTAAAGATTGTCATAAGCATCTGATTTTTCCTCATTCTAATGTGCTTTCATTTTCTCCTAACTTGCTGCAGGAGTTTTAAAATCCCAACCGATAATGAAATCTGGTTACAGTGCACACAAACCTTAAACGTGCACACACTACAAGACAAAGAAAACTGTGGCATAGCACACGACAAGATACTATTAAGATTGTGCCTGATGGAGCACATAACCTGATTGCAGAATAACTCTGCTTTTTAATGATAGGCTAGCTAACAAATATTTGACCAACTGCCAGAGCGAACAGCCTGCAGAATTAAAAAAAATGCTGCTTGAAAAGAGCACGTCCAAACAAATGTCTAATATTATTATAAATAACTATAATAAACACTACTACTACTACTACTACTACTACTACTACTACTATTATTATTATTATTACTATTATTATGGATCAGAGAGAAGACAAAGGCAGATTAACAGAGAATGGATATTTAATGATACTTTAAACAATTTTGAGGTTGTTCAGAAAAGAAATATCATCAATACCAACAAAAAGAAAACAAACAAACAGAACTTAACTTCGGGTTGTAACTGAAACAAGATGATGCCAGTGGAGGTAAACACCGTACAGGATTCACAGGACAAGATAACAGACAGGATAACAAACTGGTGAGCAGGCAGGCAGGCTACATTATCAGGTAAATGCTGTCACACTGTAGAGAAATGAGTCTGGGTAATAACAAATAAATCAGACCATAAATGAGTGATTGTTCCAGGCTTACAGGGTTATGTAGTGTGAGCGATGATGAGCAACAGGAGAAGGTGATTGGTGATTGGTCTGGTGATTGGGGCTGTGCAGGTGCAGTGAATGAATCTGATTGTCCAGAAGGATTCCTGACAATTATTATTATAAGCTAATATCATAATACTGGAATGTGCCATGCTTTGACTGGCTATTTATTTCAAAAGAAAAATTGTTAGTTGTTGCACTGCATAGCCTATAGTGTGGAAAAATATAATTTACAATGCAACGAAACCCTGGTCTGCAGTAACAGTACTGTCTCTCCCTGGGAATTTTATTTTCTATACTTTAATTTTCTAAACCTTACATTTTAATGTTTAAGCATTTTGTTTCATTGGCTACACATCTGGGTCATAGCAACCACACACACAGAATAAAGTGTGGCTAATAAAAAAAAAGATGGTTTAAGCATATTATAAATTAGCTTATTAATTTATTCATTTGTTAAAACCAACACAATTCCCACCAGCTTTTCTTTTTAGGCTTTCAGGATGTTGTCACAGCCATGAACAGAATAACTGGCTTTATTAATAGCCTTATTGTTATTATTTGACCAACTGCCTATAGGCACAACCTCAAAATGGTTTCTGGCAGTTATAAAAAAACAAAAAAACAAATGCATGCACTCAAGGTGTGCTGCAATTGTCTTTCATATATAAAATAAAAGTTTGTATGTTAGAGGGAAACAGAATTGCGGCTCATCTCGTGCATTTACTTAATTTTATAAAAGCCAGTAAGAGATATGCAAACCGGGACATAATGACACCTATTTTAAGGTTTTGCTTATAGTGGCAGGTAATCAAATATTACCATAATAATAATAATAATAATAATAATAATTTATTATTATTATTATTATTAATATTAGCAGGTTGTTGTTATTCTGTTCATTGTTGTGACAAGGTCCTGTAAGCCTAAAAAGAACAGCTGGGGAGAATCGTGTCACTTTTAACAAATAAATAAATAAATATATATAAGCTAATTTATAATAAGATTAAATGATAGTTTTTTATAAAATAGCGTAAGTATAAAAAAAATTTAGTCCCATAGCCTAAACTGAAACGAGTAGGCTATAGGCTATAAGATTTTTTTTTTCAGAGAGAGATAACTGCAGGGCCAGGGTTTTGCATTGTGAATTATATTTTTTCAATACTATAGCTAACAATTTTGCTTTTGAACTACATAGCCAGTCAAAGCACAGTATAATAAGTAAAACTGGCCACAATTTAGTTTGGATGCAATAAATTGGAAGAAAATATATACATTAAATACAAAGGCTGGTTATTTTACTGGTGATAAGTCACAATACAGTGTAACCTTACATTTTACTCATTATTTTAATTGATAATTTGTTAATTAATACTGGGCGAGGCAGTGGCGCAGTAGGTAGTGCTGTCGCCTCACAGCAAGGTTGCTGGTTCGAACCTCGGCTCAGTTGGTGTTTCTGTGTTGAGTTTGCATGTTCTCCCTGCCTTCGCATGGGTTTCCTCCGGGTGCTCTGGTTTCCCCCACACTCCAAACACATGCGGTACAGGTGAATTGGGTAGGCTAAATTGTCCGTAGTGTATGAGTGTGTATGTGAATGTGTGTATGGATGTTTCCCAAAGATGGGTTGTGGCTGGAAGGGCATCCGCTGCATAAAAACTTGCTGGATAAGTTGGCGGTTCATTCTGCTGTGGCGACCCCGGATTAATAAAGGGACTAAGCCGACAAGAAAATGAATGAATAATTAATACTTAAATGTAAAAATGGTATTGAATCTACTTAGAAAGATTTTTTATTTACTTTAAAAAATGTCTGGTGCAAAGTTTAATAGCTGTTAGTTGTGAAAGTTATTGATGTACTCTGGCTCCTTTAAGGGAGGTGCACCGGAAAGTAGGAGAGAGGGAAAAGAAGGAAGTGGAGAAAAGTTCGGCAGATGCAATGCTGTAGTAATGCTGTTTGTGAATGTTATGTTGATGCTCCAGATTAAAGACAAAGAAATGAATTATCACCCTGGTAACCCTCGTTTAATTATGATACCCACGTTGGAGAGACTGGTTTGTAAACAGCCAGAAACATGGGTTACAACAGATTTTCAACAAAAATATTATAAGGAAACTTATTTGACAACAACAGATCCTATAAATGTTATAACAAATGCCCTTAATTACCTAGTTGACAGCAAGCATCAAGTG